GGAAGATTAATTAATAAACGAAGAACATCAACTGGTTGTAAACCATAGGAACCAAAAATAGATATTAAATCATAAAATTCTCGTGGTGACCATGTCTGAAAGGTAGTTAATAGATGTTGTTGAACATTATCGGTTAGATTAGTTTTTATTGAATCTGATAAATATTTAATTAAACGTGTATTAAATGAAGTATCTGGAGTTAATGATAAATTGGATGTATCAGTTGGACAAATTTCTGATGATAGATCAAGCCAATTATGACGAAGTGCTGGTGTTGATGAAGGAAGAATTTTCTTTTTTGATGATGAACCATAACGAACTAGATTATAGAAAATTTTGAATTAATCTAAGTTTTGCAATGCAAAAGTAATTTCTTTCAGAACTCTTTTTTCTATTGATCTAAGTATTCGTACCTGCTGGTAAACTTATAATAGGATAACATCGAAAACGAATAAATGACAACATATCTAAAATAAAACGTATATACATTAATATCAACTCTTGTTGTATGGAAAATATGCAGTAAATCTGGATATAGTGCTAATAACTATAATCAAAATTTATACGTTTTTATATTCTATAGAATAATATTTCTTAATTTTATGATATAGAAATCTATTCGTAGAATATTCTAGAGTAAGATAATATTATACATAAAAGTTCTGTACGAAAAAATATATGAGTTTGAAAAAAAATGTTTATTCGAAAATAAGATGGTAAATTACATAAAACGATACATCTGGTACTGTTTTGTTTAAAAAAAATTGCCATATATATAACCAAATGTTTCAAATAAATGTCTTTCTATACCACATCAATGCTCATTGATCAATCAATAAAACAAGAAATAGAAGGCAATAGTTCAATATGGATAGATATATATATATATGTATATAAGAATAAATGTGCACATGTGTTGACAAATGACCATAAAAATCGTAAGAAATAGAAGGGAAAAATAGTTAGTTATTTCGAGAAAAAAGAAACATAAAGAATATAATATAGAACTACATTGAGCAAAGAAAAAAAAGCACTGCCGATTGAATCGAACAAGATTCGTTTTGTATACACATATGAAAAATGGACGAACAAACTCGATTGGAATAAAAAATAAAATTGAAATTGTTATTGATGTTGTTGCTGTTGAACTCTTAATTGTAGTTCTAATGAAATTCTTTTATCAATTAAATCTGTTAAACGATCTTCCCAATGTTTTAATTGTGCTTTAAGTATTGAATTACGAGATTTTATTTGATTTAATGCTGTATCAAATTCTTCATTAGTACTTGATGATGTCGATATAATTGATGATAATTCTTGTAAATGATCTGGTTGTAGTAAATCATGGATTTGTCCAAGTAAAATATTTGGATCTGATTGTTGTTGAACTGGTGGTGAAGTCATTGATGGACGTGCTCGATTATAAAGAAATGGTGTTGTATTTGTCGATGTATTATTATTATTTAGAATTCTTTGAGGTGTATCATTAACACTTGTACGAGGTGGAAGTGGTGGTGGTTTGGCTGCTTGAACAGGAGGAGGTAGTGTAGGTGGAGGCGGTGGTGGCGGAGGTGGTGGTGGAGGAGGAGAAAGACGAACAGCTACAGGTGCTACAATTCGATGATTGTCAGCAATTGGTTGTGCATATGTAAATTGTTTTGGTGAATCAGTTTTTTGTTGAAAAGTTGCCCAATTTTCCGTTGATGTTACATCCGATAGATCAATCAATGGTGTAAATGGTTGTAATTGTGATGGAAGTTCCTCCGGTAAATGAAAACCATTGAGACGTAAAACAACAAGATGCATAGCTGTACAAAATTCTGCTAATGATAATGCACCATCATGATTAACATCAGATAAATTCCATATTTGTGATAATTCAGTTGTTGGTAAATTTGATCGTTCAAAAAATTCTTTTGCTATATGACCTAAATAATAAAACAAAGATTATCAATCTTTAATTTAAACAATAAAGAAATTTTTTTTTTATTTACCATTAATAACTTTAGTTGTATCCGTTTGTAAATTTTGAAATTGTTTTGTATAATATTCTCGTTGAACTGTATTTATTGTCCATGGATCTTCAATAAAACCTTGTTCACTTTCATCATCATCCGATATTGACGATGATGATGATTCATTATCACTTGAACTTTGATGATGTTCATCAGTATGATTATTATTTGTTGGTTTGCTTAAATACATAATCCAATCTTTTTTTAATGCTGATGGTTGATATGTTTCATTAATTGTATCATATAGACGAGATGTATTTGAACTAACTAAACCTTTACCTTCATCATCAGATTCATTATATGATAAATGTTGAATACTATCGGATTGAGAACTAAGAATTGATATTGTATCGATATCTAAACGTGGATGAATATCACCTATTGATATTGATGGATGACGAAGACTGACGCCATTACTGGTCGTCATATTGGAGACTTTCGAATTTTCTTCACTCACCGGTGCAAGAAGAAATATATCGAGATCTTAAATAGAAAAAAAAAAAATTCAAATAAATAGAGAAAAAAAATCATCGATTGAATCAATTGTATTGGAATCAAAACTAATGATTCATTTTATGTCTGGTCTTGTTATTAAATGGTTAAACAGATGACAAAACATATAATGTTAATCTATATGCATTCGGAAAAAAAAGAAATTCTTTATAGATGACACTAGTTACCAATCATCAACAAGAGATGTAGACATTCTCGCTTTTTTTTGTGTGTACTGTCTACGCTGTATTTTAGAGTTTGTAAAAGAGAAAATTAATTAAATGACGAGAAATTTTGAAAATGATAGTCTTTGTTTACTATATCTAAACTTTTAAGAAACAGATTGTAAGTAGAAGATTTAGTATGTATATATTTCAAATAATTTACATATTACCTATCGACGTATTAAACGACCTTCTTAATACATTGTGCTTAATGTATATATGTTTATCTTGGTATTGTTTATATTTTTATTTGTTATGCATGATAGACTTTAATATATACGGTTTTTGCCTTGATTTATAATACATTATTGCTTTAGTTCTTCTAATAATAGAATCATTCTTTGATCAAACAAAAAAAGCATATTTGTATATCTATTCTGAAAAATAACAAGAATTCTTAATAGCCTCATACAACTTTTATTACAATAAATTCACATAGTCATACTTTTCTAGTCATTTAGTTTATTTTAATAATACAGCACACAAAAGAAAAGCTACATATTTTAAATACAATTATTAACATTGTGTCTGAGACCAATGAGGAATTAGTGTTGTTCCAGTTAGTTTATAACAATAATTATACATAGATGAAGCAAATTCTTGGACAAAAATACTTTTATAAACTGCAATAAATGCAAGATCTTTACATTC